AAAAGGTTGAAGCGGTACTTGGTTGGGAAATGCTGACAACAGTTAAGGAAATTCGCAGTTTCCTAGGGATGGCAGGTTATTACCGCCGGTTTGTCGAAGGGTTCTTTAGAGTAGCAGCTCCTCTAACCCGACTCACAAAGAAGAATGCAAAGTTTGAATGGAATGAGAACTGTGAAAGGAGTTTTTCAGAATTGAAGAAGCGACTGACTACTGCACCCGTGCTGGCTCTACCGAGTGGATCAGGAGGGTATACAATTTATAGTGATGCCTCCTATCTGGGCCTGGGTTGTGTCCTGATGCACTATGGAAAGGTTATAGCATATGGGTCTAGACAGCTAAAGAATCATGAGAAGAACTATCCTACCCATGACTTGGAGCTTGCCGCAATCATACACGCCTTGAAAACCTGGCGCCATTATTTGTATGGAGAGACCTTTAAGATCTATACCGATCATAAGAGTTTGAAGCACATCTTCACTCAGAAGGATCTCAACATGCGTCAGAGGAGGTGGATGGAACTCCTCAAGGACTATGATTGTGACATCCTATACCATCAAGGTAAGGGCAACGTAGTAGGCAATGCCCTCAGCAGGAAAAGTGCAGGCACCCTAGCCCATTTGATGGTTTTAGAATGCAGGTCAATTGGGGCCACGCAGCAGGTTCGAGTGCGAGATCTGAAGAGGGCCACATGTTTGGGCCACCTAGTAGTCCAACCCGAGTTAATCCAAAGAATAAAGGAAGCCCAGTCCGTCGACCTCGCTCTAGTAACCCGCAAGAAGGATGCAGAACAGGGAGTGAGCTCAGAATTTTAGATCTCGGCCGACGGATTGATTCGTTTCAAGGACAGAGTGTGTGTCCCAGACGACAGTGAGTTAAAAAGAGACATCATGACGGAGTCCCATAGTTCAAGGTTTGCCATGCATCCAGGAAGTACAAAAATGTACCAAATTATGCGACCTCGGTTCTGGTGGAATGGGATGAAGAGAGATATAGCCGACTTTGTATCTAAGTGCTTGGTATGTCAGCAGGTCAAAGCAGAACATCAACGCCCAGGTGGGTTACTTCAGCCTTTACTGATTCCAGAGTGGAAGTGGGAACACATCACCATGGACTTCGTATCGGGACTACCCAAGGCACGATCGAGACATGATGCTATATGGGTAATTGTTGACCGACTCACTAAGTCTTCCCACTTCCTAGCCATCAGAATGACTGATTCTTTGGACAAGTTGGCAAGAATGTATATCCGGGAGATAGTCAGACTGCATGGAGTCCCAGTAACAGTGGTATCCGACAGGGATCCCAGATTCACTTCTCAGTTTTGGAATAGTTTCCAGCAAGCTATGGGAACAAAGCTGTCTCTTAGTACTGCCTTCCACCCCCAAACTGATGGACAATCAGAGAGGACAATTCGTACGCTTGAGGATATGCTCCGAGCTTGTGTCCTTGACTCCGGGGGTCATTGGGACGACCATCTACCCCTGATAGAGTTTGCCTACAATAACAGCTACCAAGCAAGCATCGGCATGGCCCCATACGAGGCGCTATACGGGCGTCCGTGCAGGTCACCAATTTGTTGGGAGGAAGTGGGCGATAGAAGATTGTTTGGCCCGGATTTGGTAGAAGAAACCACGTCCAAGATAGTTAAAATCAAGAAGAACATTCAGACAGCTCAGAGTAGGTAGAAAAGTTATGCTGATACCCGGAGGAGAGACCTGGCTTTTGAGAAAGGTGACCAGGTGTTTCTTAAAGTCACTCCCTTAAAGGGAATTAGTAGGTTCGGCAGGAGGGGAAAATTAAACCCCAGATATATTGGACCCTTTGAAATCTTAGACAAGATTGGTACCACTGCCTACAGACTTGCACTGCCTCCTGAGCTCTCCCGGGTTCATAATGTGTTTCACGTATCTATGCTACGTAAGTACAACCCGGACCCTTCTCATGTCTTGGCTCATGAACCGCTTCCACTCCAAGAGGACTTGTCTTATGAAGAAGTACCGGTCAGTATCACGGACCGAGAGAGCAGAATACTTCGCAACTGGGAAATATCATTTGTAAAGGTCGTGTGACAGAACCACACGCCCAGGGAGGATACTTGGGAACTGGAATAAGAATTTAGGGCCCAATATCCCCATCTGTTCGATCAAGAGTAAGAGGCAAATTTGGGGACCAAATTTCTTTAAGGGGGGAGAGTTGTAACACCCGTAAAATTTGGAAAATTTGTTATTTTATTATTAAATATTTTTATTAAGTTTTTTTTTTAAAAGAGAGCGCCACGTCAGCAGCCACGTCAGCAGACCCAGTCAGCAGTCATGGCCAACCAGGACCTGCCACGTGGCAAGACCATGTCGACCGGGGACGGGCCACGTTGGCGATCCGCGTACGCGCGATCGGACGGCCCAGATCAAGCGTGCGCACGGACGACCTAGATTCAATCAAAAACGGACGGCCCAGATTAAATCAAAATGGACGGCTTAGATCAAAAGGCAAAAGGGTATAAATAGAACCCCCACACCTGACCACAAAAACCCTAGCCGCCTGCCCTCGCCGGAGAAGACGAACTAGACGCCGGAGAAGCCGGTCGCCGCCACCCGCCGCCGCACCGGGGAGATTTTCGACCGCCGATCGAGGTAAATTTCATACCCCCGACTCGTTTTTCCACGCTGATTTCTCCTGTGGCCAAATCGGAGCCAAAATCCCGGCAAAACGGCCGGAAAACACGGCCGAAACCCAGTGCCGCCGCCGCGCCCCTCCTCGATTTTTGCCTCCAATGAGGCCATTTCTGGCCTCCGTTTGATGCAATTTTTATATCACCGTGATCACCATTCTTTTCTCTACAGGTTGATCAGAGCCGAATCACCAAAACACGAACCTCACCAGAGAGCCGCCGCACCCGAGAGCACCGCCGTCGGTAAGCTTCGGTTTTCTGTAATTTTTTTGCCCCCCGAGGGCCCTAGGGTTGTTTTATCACAAGGACCGATGCAAGTGTGGCCGAATTCGGCCGGAAACGGCCTAAAACGGCCAACCCGAGGTGAATCGCCGCTGTAAGCGGCGGCGCCGTCGCCGGAGCACGGCGGAGCCGCCGTGCCAGAATTGCGATATTGGCCAAAAAGGGGCCCTGGGCCTAATTTGGGATTTTTTGGAACACGTGCAGGTACCAGTAGTGCGTTTCAGTTCCCTGGGAAAAATTCAGGGAAAATTAGGGACAGCCTGTAGGCGCACTGTGAAGCCGTGTTCGGACCCCGAAATGAGTAAGGACCCCTCACCCTATTTCCTATCACGGTATTAAAGTTCAATAATGATAAAACGGTATTTCTTGAGTCAACGAATGTGTGAAATTACTTAAGGTCGCTAATGGAGCCCGAGTCTAGTGTGTTTGTCGGTTAACTGTTATTTGGCATATTTTACAGTTTTAAATGCAATATGAGGTATGATGTTTTCATTTCATTGTTTCGCGTGCATATTTTACTGTTTTATTGATTATGGGTTGAATGACTAAGAAACCGATGCTGTATGTTGTCTTGTTTGGCATAAATTACTGTTTGCTTGTTTGTATGTAAATTGATGATGCTGACTGAGGAAAAGAAGAATGAAAGATTATGTAAATTGATAATTGTATAATGTGGTCAGCCTGACTAGATATCCTAGGAGATGGTGGACGGACCAGGTCCGTAGGGAACCCTACCGGGATTGTGGTCTCTCATACCGGACGGGGTATGGAGACCTTATGTGTTTTGGCGCCCATACCGGATGGGGTATGGGGACGGCCCGTTTCACCCTCATACTGGACGGGGTAATGAGGTTTATAGTTTTGGCGCCCATACCGGACGGGGTATGGGGACGGCCCTGGAATCTGATTTCAAGTGTTAAGGGTTAACGGGTAGCGGGACCCCTATGGATCCCCATGGATACTAGTGGGCTGGTAAATCGAGGAAAATATGTTGTGTAATGATTGAATTACAAAAGGCGTGATAAGTATTATGTTATACAGTTTATATGATTTCATGATGATGATAATGTTATTGCTTTCGTATATTGTTTTATGAATTTCACCGAGGTAAGTGGATGGTAAAAGATTTATTATTAATAAAAGGATTTGTTGTAAATTATGCTCCATTGGTCTTTTTGTGTTTTCTACCCACCTTTACCTCCGTGACGGTGAGATATCGTGATATCTTTACTGGGTTAGTGTAGCTCATTCCTTATTTAATCATTTCAGATCAGGAAGACATTGTTCCCGAGCCCGTTCTGCAGGAGGACGACGAAGGGGACGCCTAAAGACTCCATAGTCATATTCATATATTTTACTTTCGAGTTTCTCCTTTAGTTAGTTTGATTTTTTATATTTTGTGAGCACGTTTTTGGTTTTAGTGTAAGGGATGTTAATCGAAATTTTGACTTCGCTTTCGCATTTGATATTTTTAATACATATTTCATTTTAAATTTCCGGGGCCGTTACATCTTATCTTTATAATATAATATAATTTTATTTGGTATGTTTTAATTCTATTAGAATTTACTTAAACTAATTAATATGTAAGATTATTATAATACATTATATTTAATATTACAATGTTAGTTTTGAACTTTTATTAGCATACTTTAAAAGTTTAAATGCGTGCAAATATTTTTAAATTTCAACAAATTTATATAACAATATAAAAAACCAAATCAAAGTAATAGAATCATATATTATCACAAAAAAAATCACATTATATATAGTATTAGAATGGAACACTAAATTTATTCATTAATTGTATTATTGATGGGATTAATATTCATTCCCATAATAATTTTCACAGTACGTCTGTTATTGCCTTATAATTCAACTAGGTTTAAAAGTTCTCTTTGCAAGTTTGTTCCACTTAGTCTATTTTTCTTTAAAGAACCAACTTTCTTGTACTTATATTTACTATTTTATTACAATTTATTAGAAAAATTTATCATATTAAATTTTAAAATCTCAATAAAAAATTTTATAAAATGAAAAAAGGAAACCATTTCTCTAAACTTGCAGTTTTTCATTACAGACAAAATTGATAATCCACTTTCTAATTCCATCTTCCAACAATTTGCTACAAAAACCTTTCAATGAGGTTCTCCCTCTTCTTCTCTTCTCACCTTAAGAGAAAAAAAAAATGGTAACTGGATAGAGGGTATGGAATCAAGTGATATATCTAAGCAAAAGTTACATCTTTCCAGCTGATGACTTCTTGTAAAACAGACTCAGTCCTCGAGCTTGCTTGAAGGATCTTTAATCAGTCTTGGATCAGTCTGGTAGAACACGATATCTCCAGTATCGCTAACAAAGTGATCATGTCTCAAACTTTCCATCAAATTCTGGAACAGATGAAATGGAAATAGCCCAGATTTCCTTGGCTCGCGGTAATACTTTCCCAGCACTGGTTTTGCTGCTTTCGTCTGCAATGCAAAAATATTGAAAAAAAAAAAAATGAATTTTTAAGGCAACCCAGATCCAAGTTTTTACTTCTAAATTTCCCAGGCAATAATGGTGTATGTGTGTGAATTGGAGATATTGAGATATATAGTATTTATACCGCTTCTACAAGGTGATAGTGTGGTATTTGAGGGAAGAGATGGTGTATAACGTGAGTGCCAATATCGTGATGAATATTGTTGAACACTCCGTAATCACGGTCCACAGTTGTAAGTCCTCCGCGTAGATAACTCCATTCCTGCCAAATTGACAATCTCTTATTCGTGTATAACTAATAGATTGAACTCTTTACTGTCTATAATTGGTTAACCTCCTCGACCAAAAGTTTTGTGGAATTCAGATCAAACAGTAACCAGTTCAAATTTAGATACCTGGCCACGGTACCAAGGAAGTTTCTGCTCATGACCATGGTGATGCAAGTATGTCACAAAATCCAACCACATCACAAAGATCTGGAAAAAGGATATATGCATAAATTATCAATTGCAAATCTGAAAATCAGGAACAATTTTCAGAAATCTTAGAAACTTGTAAGGTCATCTTGATAATCCTTAATTTGATTGACTCACCAAATAAGGTATGCCATAGAGCTTAAGCATCTGGATTGGACCCAACAGAAAAGATAAAGAGGCAAGCAAAACCACCATTAAAGTCCAACACAAAGTTGAGGTTATCACAAGGTTTCTTTCATTAGATGCAAATAAGTCACTGTATGGATTGAAATGAGATCCTGTCTTTCCTGGACTTCTGTACCACTGTAATAGAAACCAACAAAGAAAATAACATCAAAATTTTGTCAGGAAAATCAGAAGGATGGCTATGGAAACTTGAGATCAATTAACAAGACCAGCAATATTTATTACCAAGTACATAGGATATGCCAACATGGGGAAAGGCACTGTGAATCTAAGAGTCAGTGTTTTTGGACCCAATTTCTTGTAGATCTTTTCAGGCAGCTGAAAACATTGACAACAATAAATGGATATACATATGTGTGTGTGTGTGTGTGTGTGGAGAAATTAGATGACAAGGATTCTTACTGGCACCCAAGACTCATCCTTCTCAATATTTCCATGGTTTTGATGGTGGGTCCTGTGGCTGATTCTCCTGTGAGATCCCATTGTAGAGAATTTGATTCCATTAACTCACAACCATCAAGATTTAAATGAAGAAAAGTATGGAAGATATGAAATAAAGAAAAGGGTTTTAAAGTTTATTGTCAAAGGAAAGCACACCATCCATGGTAAGGTACGAGAATGGATGAATGTAAGATATGACCCACCACACTGTTCAGCTTGGGATTATCAGAGAAGCTGCTATGGCCACTGTACGATTCAACACAAAAAAACCAGGTTACATTCATCTAACAGATGACTGACATTGACAAAAACACAATGCCATAGCTACATATATAGATATAGTACAAGATATCTACATATAAATATATATACCAATCATGTCCAAGAACAAATATTGCCCAGAACATTGTTCCTTGCGCAAGCCAGTAAAGAGGCCAAAAAACCCAGTTGTTGAAAAACACAGCAGCCGCCACCAATAAAGAAACCACCACTAAATCTCTGAGAACATAACTTAGCGATCTCCATGGGTTCTTGATCCAACAGTGCTTGGGAATGGCTGCTCGGATCTCGGCAATCCTAAATGGAGGCGGTTTTCTTGGATCAAAACTGAGGCCATCGTCCTGCTTGTAAATCCCATTTAGACCGTTACTGATGAAATTTCCTTCACTCCCCATTTCTTGGTGTCCTGCTTTTAAGGACTCACTTTCTTGGGCTCCTGACAATTATTCTGTAAAAACCCGAGTTAAAAAAAGAAAAAACAGAGACAGAACAGAGATAGAGAGGCCGTTGCAGAGCTCTTGAAATTTGAAATGCTGAAGAAGACAGACTTGGGATGTGTGAATTATAGAGAGAGTTAGGAGGACGAAGGTTTGTCGAGTTGCCATTGAAGCAATGAGGAGGTTCTTTATATAGGCACCAAAAATTTTGACGCACCCAAACAGAAAACTGAACACGTTAATCAGCCATAAGAAAGGAAAATAAATTGCTTATATATCCTTTTTGATTCCTAAATTATTATTTTTTTCATTTCAAATGAATCCCTTAATTTTTTTAAATTACTCAAAAGTCCCTTTTGAAAACCTGGAGTTATGAGTTAGGACTAAATTGCAAATTTTTGATAGATTAGAAAGTTTGTAAATAATTTAAGAAAGATTTATGTTTCTTTGTCAAAATTTTTTGAGTTATTGCTTAGTTGCACGGTAGAATAGATAACTCACCTAGCTGCAAAGAAAGCTAACCGTGCACGAGAATGTGAGGCGGGAGAAGAAGACATCCGTGATGTTGTTATTCTCCCGAGAAAATTCGTTAGACTATAAACTTAGTGTGTGTGTATATATTTTTTCTCCTAAATATGTAACCTAGAATGTACAGAAATAAATTTGTACTTTCTCACCTAGATAATACAAAACCAAATATAACTACTTCATTCTCGGTAACTAATGAAGAAAGACCCTTTAAGATTTCAAGGCAAGATAATAGCAACGCTGACTTTTTTCACCAACTTAGAAAATTTATAGAATTTAAAGATCTCCCACTTATCTTGAGGATTTATATATGAGGAGACCAATACTTCAATCAACCACTTACAATCGTTTGATAAAAAGACTACACCACAGGTAAGTTTATACTCATATCTTGTAGTATTTTATATGCCAAACTCACTGATAAATATTAGAATTTTGTATATTCAATTAACTCTCAAGGTGAAACTAATTTCTATTATAAAGTTTGCAAGAATTCACAATAGATAAAGGTTATGAAAAATGAAATTACTACACTGGAATATAATAAAACCTGGACACTCACTGATATGCTATATAAGAAGAAAGTTATAGGATGTAAGTGATTATATAAAGTGAAGTTCAATGTTGATAAATTCGTGGAAAGATACAATGTAAAGCTTGTTGCAAACCAATTTTCTAAAAAAAAATGATTAAATTACCATGAAACCTTCTACCTTGTTGCAAAGATTGTCTCTATAAGATCACTGCTTGCTTTAGCTACTTTAAAGGGATGATATCTTCATCAATTTGATGTCAACAATAAGTTCCTACGTAGAGATTTAAACAAAGATGTTTACATTGTCACCTAGGTATATTTATGAAGAGAAAACAAAAGTGTATAAACTTGTAACAATGTATATGGACTCAAACAAGCTTCACAATGATGGTATGTTAAGTTTTTTGGCTTTTATTATTTAATAAAGCTTTATACAATCAAGGATAGATTACTGTCTATTCATGCGAATGAATGAGAAATATTTTATTGCATTATTAGTTCACATTTATGATATAATTATTATAAGCAATAATATAGAATCAATTGATTATATGAGATCTGTAATGGATGAGAAATTCAAAATTAAGGATTTTAGAAGCCTTAACTATTTTATTAACATTGAAATTGTTAGATAAAAGGAAAGGATTTATACTAAATGATTCTAGAACTTTAGGCATAAGAACTTCAAAGTTACGACTCATATCAAATTTGAAATTGGTCAAAAGAAGATTGTAAATTTATTCCAGATTTGATAATGCAGAGAAGAGTCATTGAAAGATTGATATACTTGAGTCTTACAAGATCATATCTATCATATTCCATACAACTTCTTAATCAATTTATGGAGTATCCCTGAAGCCAACATCTTATGTTTCTCATAAGGTTCTAAGATGCATCAAAATGCTCTTTGGTAAAGTTTATACCTACTTCTTCAAAGATGTAGCTTAATGCCTACGACAACAGTTTTAAAGAGGTTGTCTAGATACTTAAGATCCATTACAGAATATTGTATTTTTCTTAGGTCATGTTTTGTCTCTTGGAAATCAAAGAAACAATACAGTATCTCTTGTTCCTCTATTGAAGGTGAGTAGTAATGACTGTTGTGTGCTGTGAATTAACCTAAATAAGATATTTACTTTAACACTTATAGATTCATAGTTTCAATCGTATATTGTGACAATAAAGTTGCAATATACATTACAACACATTTTTTTTTTTTTACGAAATAACCAAATTCATAGAACTGAATTCTATTTTATTTGTGAGAAGATCAAAACATAAATATGATAGGGCATGTCAACAGTGCACTGTAATAACAAATATGTTTATCAAGCCTTTCCTTTACATACCCTTTTATTCACATGTGGTCAATATGTAAGTAAAAATATCTATTCTTTATTTTGTGAGAGGATGTTAAAACTTGTTGAGTTATTGCCAAGTTGTTTGCCAAATCAGATAATTTAGCCAGTTATATAATAACCTAACCATGCACGAAAATATAAAACGCGAAATAGACCTCCTTAATGTTGTTATTCTATCTCTATTGATACTATTTTTTTTCTCTTAAAATTTTTTTAGACTGTAATCGTAGTGTGTATGTATATATTCTTTTTTTAATATATGTAATATTATTTCATATACTACACTAATAATACCTTGTTTGGATGCAGAGACAAGGTTTTCAATATAAGACAAACTAGCTTTAGTCAAAGTGATAACAATAAGGAAGCTTTGGTATAAGCTCAAAAAATGGTGATCCTCACAAGCCAACTGGCCAAGTAGGTTTTGTAAAATTCAAATTAAGCTAAAGCAATTATGAAGAGGAACATTGAACTAAGAGAGTTGTGTATACACCACACAAACTGACTTTGTTGTGGAATGTGCAAGTTTAGGGATTGGGAAGTAAGAAGATTCCGAGTCAGCCACTTATCTAAACATTGTACATCAACCGTGTTTTCAGTCATAATAGAAGCAGTGCAACCCTAATGTTGCAAATTGATAACCCAATATGCTTGAGATTCAACTAACCATAGAGAGATTATTTAGAGGACAAAACCTTAAGAAACAATCCCTCGCCTAGACTTGGCAAAATTTTGGCTACATCATTAATATCGTCTATAGAAACATGGTCATTGATGAATCGTCCCCATAAAATTGCAGTCTTTAAGATTATATTGATAAAATAGATTTCTTTAATTAGAAGGCCGTGGTAATGTAAAGAAAGCTTTTTTTATATGTATTACTAATTTAAAATATTTAAAGAAATAAAGAAAATGAAAAAGTAAAATCTACTTATGCACCACCTCAGCACTAGACATGCAAAAACTACAAGGGTAGCAACCACGTACCCTTGAGAGGTAACAGTAAAGATGAAAAACCTAAAGTGCCATTCAATTGTTCATCACCACAGAGGTTGAATTATACAAATTTTTTAGTAACTTAGGGTTTAATCGCACACAAAATTTCTTGAGGGACTTCTGCACAATTTGAAAAAAAATTCAGGAGCAACTCTTTTTTTTTTTTTTTTTGTGTGTGTGTGTGCAATCAGCAAGACAAATTTAATGGGTTTTGAGACTTAATTATACTATAATTAGCAAAATATATCATCATTATTTACACGTAATTATTTTTCTACAATAAATAAAATATCATAATTTATGGGCACTAATTAGTTTGTCATTACATAAATTATTATTACCAGATGCATAAAGTTTATGGTATCGACGTATATGAATCAAATGAAAAGTAAATAAAAAAATTTTCCAATGGTTTCTTATAGGAATTTTCTAATGTTTTGATATTGTTTGTAGTTAAGATAGTAACAATAGGTTCTTTAAAGCAATTAAAAATAGGTCTCCAAAATACATATTCAATGAACATATCTGTACATCTAATTCAAGTTAAATTAACTTAATTTAATATCAAATCTTGGATTATATTTTTAATTTTTTTATTTTATTAAAGTTTTAATATGAGCTGAATGAACACTTATTACTTTTTTTTTTTTTTGGTATCAAATCAATTTATTTTTTTGTATAATTATTATTATTATTTAAAAAATTATACTATAAATTATGTGATTTATTAACACTAATTATAACATAACAAAAAAAAAAATTTAAATGAATATATGCAGAATCAAAGTTTGAAGCAAAATCATAATTTCTTATAAAAAAAAAAAAGAAATATACTAACTATTCAATTAAATGGTAATCGGTAACTAAAAAATAAATTAAACACATTATCTTGAAAATTTTAGTTTGTATTCCGTATCGTATAACTTGATTTTTCTCGTAAACGTTATCATTATTATAGCCACTTATTTTAGTATTTTGCATTGAAATGCGACTAAAAACTGTCTCTTACACATTTTTCTTTTCCTATAAATATAAAACCAGGAATTAAATGAGGAAAATGAGATAAAAGTTGTGTGAGAAAATGGAGGAGGGAGATAAAAATTGAAAGTCTCTTTCCGAATGTATATGAAAATTGTTTGGGACAATGAGTACACAATTTTTTTTATTAAACTGTTTATAAAAATTATTTAATAGAAACGTAAGTATTTTTATCAATATACATAAATTACACCGTATAATCTTTAAAAGATAAATGTAACTTTGACACAAATAAATGAATTAGAAATGAAATTGTCTTACTTCTTCTGTATCAATGAATATATTTGATGATGTTTATATGTATACGATATAATTTTTAAAAATAATAAATTTCGAGCACGAAATAAAAGAGTCTTACAAACATAAATGAATGATAAGAAAATGAAATTATCATAATTCTATCACGTAGAGGTAATATGTTTAATGATGATGATTTGATTGAACATGCATCCAATGCTAAGAACCGACAAGGAGACACAATCAAGAAAGTTTCAAAGAAAAAGAAAAAAAAAAAAAAAAAGCTTCCCTATAAAGCGCCCTCATTGAAGGAGTTCATAAGATTGAAAATCAAATTTTGTTAGAGACTAGCAACAATGCCCTGTTCACAGTCACTAATTTTGTACCATAAAAGTTGAACAGAAGGGGTTCTAAATGGTCTGTTAGTTTCTTTTCGGAGAAACCTGTAATTATGCCACCTCTTTTCTGGGTTTTTATCTTTTGTAGTTTTTAGTTTACCCCAAGAAAAAAAAAAAAAAGGGTGAATGGAATGTTAAATAAGACTATAAAACAAACAGAGGAAAACAGAGTATGAAACAGAGCAGACAGAGTCCCTTGATTTATGCAAGAAAAGAAAAAAAAAAGGAAGGTAGAAAAATGAAATGCAGGGTAAAATTGAAACGAAGCAGAGACATAATAAGTAATTTCTTTTTTACGAGAGATAAAAATAACAATGATTCAAGTTAAAAAGAAGAGGAAGAAGAAGAAGAAAAAAAAAAAAAAACAGAGAGAGTACCTCGATTCTCTGTTTGAGGCTGGGTTGGTTTCCTGTTTGATGGGTTGCTAATTTGATATGATCAAGTTAACGAAATAGGAAAATCGGGTTACTAACGCCGAGGAGAAAAATTGGAAAGTAATTTGAGTAGAAGGGAAACATTTTGGTGGAGCACAGGGTGGTTCAACCATGCAACAGTTCTACCGGTTAATAGGTTTCCAACTGGCTAATAATACTGCTGCTTGACCATTTCATTGCCTATTTTATTATCTCATATTATAAATTTCGTTTTTCTTTTCTAAATTAAAATTTCAAAAATATTGTTCCTACAAGAAATAATGTCTTCCAACAAAAATAATGATATTTTTCTAATTTTTATTTTATATGTATTTTATTTATAAGTTTATACAAATTATTAGTTAATAAAGAAGAAGTCATGAAAAAATGATGATGTAATTAAAAAAAAATTCTCAAAATATTATTTTATTTTTGATTCAATTATTCTATAAATAAATTTTGTATGTATTTTTTAAATAATCTAATAAAAAAAATTTAGATTTGTTCGGAACGTACCAAGAAGTTTATTTTTAAAAATTATGGAATTGTGAATTTTAAAATATTAACATTTATTTGAGATTCTTGCATATCTCATCAAATATATATATATATATATATATATATATTAATTTTTTAATTGTAAAGTAAAAAATAATTTGGTACAATAATAAAAAGAAGGCATTGCATATATTGAATTGTATTAAATAATAATCCAATCGAATATTAAAAAGTGAAAATACAATTAATTATAATCTCATTCATTGCCATATAATATTATAAGTTATAATTAAACCTATGATTCCTTCCAAAGCGAAAACTACGACAGTTTACTGCATTGCCAGTGATGAGCATCTAATCTATCCATACTTCACACAAGGTTTAATTACTAAATTTAAGATTTCCAGTTTCTCTCTTCCTTAATTGGGCAAGTGGGTAAATTAAAGATTAATTATGAGATTAACATCATAAGCACTCCATGTGAATTGCAAAAGTATTTCTGACATTATTAAATGGAATTTTATAATACAAATATTATACTGATTTGGAATAATTTATATATTCGTTGTGTAAATTTTTTTATTTTTTATTTTTAAAGATTATAATTCAAGATGGCATCTTTTTAACTTTATTTATAAATATTACCACAACATAGTTTAAGAAGATTTCTTCTGTCTTTTAAAAAATAAAAACAAAAATTCAAGTTTCAAATTTTCAGAGCACTAATTTCCAAAATTAGCAACAAAGCTGTTTCTTAGCATAACAATTATTTATTTAATTAATCTGTGATTAGTTAAAGAGGGACTGTTGAATGGTAGCTGCAATGATGTTCTGATAAGAATAAAATGCAGAGACGTTGGACAGTCATCACGTGGAAATGCAATGAATTGATTTAGAATACTCTGATTGCTCATTGCCCCAATTTAGCTGCAATAATTTTTTTGGAAGATTCTCCACTGGGTGCATCTGATTATTTCAACTTCATGATTGTTACACCACAAACTCTTAAGCAGCTCTCATGTCCAAATATCTAAACACCCAATATTGAACCAGTTACCAAATATCAAAGTTCAAATTCTACTCAAAATCCTCTCCGTCAATAAAATACTAAAAAAGTATTGAACCGATAGTCACCACCAACAGAACTGAGGAGGGCTAAGGCAGAGTCCCTCAACTTCTAACCTCTAAATAATCAAAGAAGAAGATGGTGTGGGATTCACACTCCCAAAATTGTCCACGGTCAAAAATCTTAGCCTGAAATGGTGTTACAGGAGTTCGGTTTTTTGAATTCTTAAATCTTTTTCCCTTCAGAATCACTTGCATCAACCATTAAAATGGGCTCCCAATTAAAAGAACTACATTGCCAATCTATCTGGTAGCATTTTCACAGTTGGATACATTTACTGATTCAGACAAGTGGAGAAAACAGGAGGCATAACATTGAAATTTGACCTCTTTTGCGTTTCACATCCTTAATGATGAAACTAACATTAATGCCAACTAAACTAATCCAGAATTATATGCTACAAAAGTTAGTGTTACTGTATCATTGATTTGACAATACCAGTTATCGATATTAATATTTTAACCGTAGTTAGATTATAATTTTTTAGAAAAATTATTTTTTAAGTATTAACATCCACCGGTTGAAAGACTAGCACTCACAATTAATATTGTGAACTTAAGCTTGTTATAATGTTCCCTATGTGCTAATGTGCTTGAAAATCAAACAGAAGGCAACAACTGGGTCAAAGAGTTCCCTTCCTAATATTCTAACCAGAAATACTTCATATAATTACTTGACATTATGCAACTACTCTTTTCCACTTCATTAAGTGTGACACCAGAGGAGGCAATCACTTTACATTGAAAAGGAGGTATTTCTCACAAGGAAGCCAAATTTGGGATGCTTTTTAAGTGTCAACTATTCTAACTGAGGAACAACTACAAAAAATGTATGAATTAGCAAACGACATCCTCTTAAAACTGTCCCCCAAAAGAATATGAATTTCTATACGAATCTTACTTGACAATAATGCACAACAAATCAGCTTATTTCTTCCCTCTAATGTGTGTAAAATTGGGTGATTTTTAAATACTATACAAAATAAATAGCTTACAGTATAAACACAAGAAGTATGACAGAATCATTTCCCATCACTACCTACCTTCGTTCTCGAGCTTGACTAGTGTGTTGACCACTAACTCCTGATATTTGCTTTAGGTTGGTAAGAGCATCTTGAGCATGCCTCCTTGCATTGGTATTCCCGTGCTTGAAGGCTTCCACCAAAGCTCTAACTAGAGACTGATTGAGAGAATACTGATGGCTGAGGCCTTCGACTCTTAACATCCTCTCTATCATCCAAAGTGTCTTCTCCTGGAGCTCCCCAGGACGAACTTCAATGAAAAGATTAATTAGAGCACTTACGACACCGAGTTTCTCAAGCTCATCAGCAGCTCTTTTAAGGCCAGTACTAGAGGTGTCCCGTAATAGAGTTGATAGTGCCTCTACTGCAGCAATTTGGACATTGGCATCCTGGTCGTTGAGAAGATTTACAAGAGGTTTAACACAATTAGTCTTTAGCAAGCACAGCTGATAGTCATCTTTGCATCGGGCATTGTGTATAGGACACATTGAAGGTTTTGTAGAACTGCTCCCGCAAATAAAACCCAGTGACGTGCAGAGCCCCTTGGGGACTGGTGGTTCTAAGTCCCTAGAAGCGAATGACCTTCCAGCTTCTGACAAATTCTTCAATCCAATAGCAGCTAGTCTTTTCACTCTTGAATTTGAAGGAAAGATGAGCTGCTCATGGAAGATGGTCATAAGGCAATGCTCTTTGGCCATACTAACAATTTGTGGGTCAAGGGTCCTTGTAAAGTGAAGTAAGAGGCCAAGAAGCCCCTCTACCATGCTTGATGCTGGTCGAAAAGTTCTCCCATTAGAGCTATGGCGCTGGTTCTTGAGACTGGCAACAATCCATGTCAAAAAGCTAGGTCCTAGGAGTTCTTTTACTTCATCTTCTCTTAGGGGAATGTTGGCAAGTATGCATGCAGCATCTGATCTCTCATCATCTGGTGATTGATCATCTAAGAGCTTGTCTTTGAAAATAGAAAGCCTATTGGACCATTTCAACTCATTAGCTAAATCTTGGCCAAATATCCCTGAGAATATTCTTGTCAGCTTAAAAGCATAAATTCTGTGCTCAACTTCTGGATGTTCAAGAAATGGTATAATGATTTTGATGCCATCCCCAGATTTTAGATGAGTCGCTACTGAACCTGCAAAAAGTAGTTACTGCCTCAGTACAACCTACTACACCTAAACTTCTGATTCTATGAAGTAACTCTATGAATACTTGTAGCATTTAAATCAACAGCTTGTAATTACTAAATGCAAATAACAAAAGAAACTATTTTAAAACATGTAGGAGGATAATCTCATGGTAACAAGAACAAACAAATTATTCAGCAAATAATTACCTGCTGCTTGGGGAGAAGAGGCAATTCCGTGCAGAATATGGAGAATTGAAACCTGGCATTGAGGGGATACAACAGATAGAAGTCTTAAAAGGCTCAAGACCATGGATTCTGATTGCATAGACTGCCCTTTTTTGTCAGCAGATGCTAATTCCCAGTGCCCTGGATTTGATACAATGTTTGCCATGGTTGATGCTGCCAATTCCGTCCACTCTAGAGAATAATCTTGGTTTTCAAAAAGAATGTCTGTAAGAGCTGGAAGCACAGCACAATTGACAAGGATAGTTGCATTGTCATCCAAACTAGACAGGTTAAACAAGGCTTGTAAGCTTGGTGCTCTTCCCTCTGGTTTAGCAAGCAACTCAATTAGCACCCTAGCACTTTGCCTTGCAATCTGTTCCTTGCTGCTATTTGTCAGGGTCAGTCTTCCTATGATGGATGCCATCTCCATCTTAACATCATCAGAACCTGTTTCGAGGGCAAGAGCAACTTCAATTAAATTCATGGTCATAAAAGTATACCATCACTTTGTCAAATTGATAAATGTAATTCTCCATGGATTCTTGTTTGCTGCTTAGGATATCTTGTCGTTCTGTCTGGAAACTGATATTTCAGAGTTTATTTTGCAAGTCTACTTCAACTGAAACACACATGATAGTATCCAAAGTGCAAACATGTAATGGCATCAGATATACCTTCATGTAACCTGCTAAGCAGGGGTTCAATCTTCCCGCTGATGCTAGATGCTGAACATTTGCCTCCACTCTCCCCAACTGCTTTAAGACCTCCTCAGCTAAATTTGATAAAGAAGGATGCTCCACATCCCCGGCCATGCTTGAGAGAAGAACCAATGCCCCTTTTTCTGATGCAAGTTTTATGCAGTAAGCTTCATCACTAGAGAACTCAAGTATTAACTTCACAGCATACTCTCTCTCTTTCTCATAGCTTCCAATAAGACCATGTATGGCTAATCTAGTGATACCCTCCCCGAGCATTATCTTCTGTAAAATGTTTTAAGAGATTTTATCAGAAACCGAAATGGTATTGATTCAATCACCAGAAGTGTCTAGCATATACAATTATCAATCCAGACGCAAGGGAATAAATGTACCATGTCAAAATTAACATATAGAAAAGCAATTTAGCATGACAGAAAAGATGATTAAGAAGGAAAATTCTAACAATGTGAGATGATATGCAATTAGACATTCTAATCTTTCCATCAACAAAACATTACTTCAAGTACTGTTATGCAGCACTTCTTTACAGATTGCATATAGACAGATTTCATGCTTTAACTGATAATTTCAAGTTAATTCCTATATTCTTATGTCTGAAGTTCCCTGATTCACTCACACAAGAATTCAAAAGACACGCCTAAAATGTTATCTACGATAATTATACACATGTTAAATCTACTAACAACTGATCTAGTCAAAACAGATGTTACTTCACCCCAATTCCTACAGTTTGGATTACTGTAAACGGATGAAACTCCCAACATGTAATGATCATTTCCTAGGCATCCCATGAAGACCAACAAAAACTAACCTTGCTTTCTTCATCCTTGGCCATGCTAAGGAAAGTCATGAGAGCTTTGCTTCTCAAGAGAGACCCAATATTCTTGGAGGAATTCTTCAATAGTTCCATAATAAGCACAACAACCCCAGCATTCCTCACTCTATATCGGTTCCAATGATACTCCTCCGAAATCCTATACACGTCATCCAACACCCTTTCAATACAATCCACATCAAGAGATTCCTGGCTAAGATGCTTCACCGCCAACTTGACCTGTATGTCGACGTTCCTATTAATCCACTCCTCTATAGCACCTGCCAAACCGATATTTGGCTTTAGCTCCAGGGACTTCAACACCTGCCCTGTCACTGGACACGTAGGGTCCCGCCCGTCCTCTAGACATCGGCGGAACCAATACTCAATCGCTGTCCGCTCGTACGTCTGCGACGACTCCAAAACCACCGGTTCCTTCATCACTTCCTTCGTCAGAGGGCAAAGGAAGTTCTTAAATGGCAGAATGTTGGCCTCCTCCTCGAAATCCACATCCATTTTTGGTCTCACCGAGTCAGGTGAAACGGACCAGTTGCCTAGGATCCTCTCCAGCGATACAAGGATCCGCCGCTCGGTCACCGAGCTGGAACGCGCCAAGTCGTTCTTTAGAAGCTTGACCTGCTCGGAAAGCTCCGCGTGATCATCGGAATCAATTCCTAAGGCCCGTGCCAAATCCATTATTATCGCGCTCTGCACTGCTTTTGTGCTCGGCCTCCCCTGCCCTTCCTTTTGCAGTGTGCACTGTACTCGCTCTTCGTTCTTTGTAACCTGCACTCTCACAAACACCCGTAAGCACACGAAGTACTTCCTCAGGGAACATAAACGCAAATAGACATGATGCCCAACATTTACATAGACGTACTTATTTAAGCAAGCAAGCAAACTCATAGGTCAAGTAACTTACATTGAAGAGAGCTTGCTTCATGTCAAGGGCGAGGTCGGCGGTTTTCTTGCGTAGATCCGGAAGGTGGTCAGCGTTCTGGAGGGAAGATTCAATAAGTGCGAGCCATGAACCGATGGCGACGGTATGGTTCTGAAGGGAGGAGCAGAGAGACTGGCAATTAAGGAGAACGAAGATCTTGCTTCGCTCCCTGTAAAAAGAAACCGTCTCGGCGGCCTTGGCGAGCTCCACAGAGATTCCCCGAAGAGCGGTCTGCGTGGACGCAGGAAGGTCTTCCGGT